AGCAGCTGTTTTTGGCTAAATGTTTGGGTCCTCACAAAATTCACACATTGAGTCCTTACCCTCAAAGAGATATTTGGAGAGGGGGCCCTTGGGAGATAATTAGATTTAGATGAGGTCATGGGAGTGTGGCCCCCACGATGGGATTAAACTCCTTATAAGTAGAGGAAGAGACCACCTTGTGAGGACACAGCAACCAAGGAGACAAATTAAGTGTGAAAGTCAGACCTGGAGCATCATAGAAAAGCACGCCCAGAGTGGGGCCATTTGGGTGAGGTGCATTTGTTGACTCCGAGTCACCAAGAAAAATCTAAAAGTAAGTTAAGCCATATTAAGTTTGTTTTAAAACTAGCTGACACATTTTAGGAAGGTTTCGTGCAATGTGGTTTTTAAAAATGTTTTGGTTTTAAAACTAACCTGTATGGAAAACTCAGTTATCCAGAATGGCGTTTCTAGACAGTGAGAGGAAGTCCAACCCAAGCTTCACTGGCTTCAAGTGGACGCTCGAATATCAGGCCATGCAGGTCGGCTCTGCCTTTCTCTTCTCCCTGCCCCGTGCGTTCACTGCGTCCTGAGAAGGCCCCTTGCCCGCCCATCCGTGGTCTCTGCCTTCCTTCAGCACAGTCATTCAGCCCTACTGTGACTGGCCCCAGAAAGATGGTGGTGTGTGGAAGGCACAGTTCTGCCTTTAAGTTGTCCATGGTACTTGAGAAGAGGGTGAATAAGTGTTTGGGATTCATCTGTGCATAGACGCTGTAGGACTCCACAGCCGGGCCACAGAACCCCTGGTCTGTGGGAGGGTGGGAGGCCAAGGGGCCTCCGGGGGCGGTGATGCCCAGACTGAGGTCATACGCTCGGAGCAGAGGCCGGAGAGCAAGGTGCAGTTGGAAGCTTGCAAATGCAGCACAGTTGGGCCCTGTGTAGAATGTGAGCCACAGGGCATGGCCACAGTCACAGTCATGGGGGAGAGAAAGAGGAGCAGGACTTCGTGTACCAGTGAGAAAGTTTGCTTTTCGTCCTGGGGGGCAGCCAGGGAGCTTTGCGGGTCTGCTGCTAGTCGTCCTTCCCTCTGTCACTGGTCACCTCTCACTGCTCCTACAAAGGCCAAGGGCATTCTTGCCGCAGGCCTACCTGGTGTGTACTGCACAGATTGTTCTGATTGCAGTAAGCTCCCTAGATTAGGGGAGGGGGCGCCTGGAGATGGAACAGGGGCCCCATGCAGTGATCCAACGAGGAGACAGAGGCCTGAGAAGTAGCAGTGTGGTGGCACGACAGATTGATGTGAGATGTCGGGGGCGGGGGGGTGGGGGGGAATTGACCAGATTGGCAACTGATGGTTGACCATTCTTGTAGGGTAAGAATGACCACCCCAGGCCATCAAAGCTCAAACGGATTGGGCAGCAGCAGGTGCTGTCCCATTTCCAGTGACCTGTGCCCCTCAGCACAGGCTGCCTGGACTTTCTCACCATGTTGTCAGTAAAGCTTATGGGTTCCAGCTGTGTTAATGCAGCCACAGCCCTGCTATGTCTACCTTAACGTTGATGGTAGTGTGCCTTGGGCTCTCTCTAGACTAATACAGAACAACGTGCTTACAAGTGAGCAAATGGAACAAATGAGACCAAAGGCACAGTGAATGACCGAGATGGTCGAGATCAACCGCGACATGCACGGCTCAGGTTTCCATATGGAAGTTCCTTTAACAAGCTCGGCTTTGCACACGCCCTGACAGGAGATGCTTAACTCTGCCGTTGTTGAAACCCCAAAACCCAGATGCTCCCAAGCCGGGCCTCACTGAGCACTGGGCTCTACTGCCTCCAGCTATTCTGTTTATGTTTGCTGCCATGGAGATCGGTTTGTTTCTGAAAGATGCATTCTAACATTTGTGTGGCGAGCCACACTTGTTATATTTGAACCATGTGTGACGCAAGGGAAGGGGAACCACTTGACTTAAAGCGGGGAGTATTTGGGTTAGCAGAGGTACTTCCTGCCAGTTTAAAACAAGCCGGCTAGATGGCTGAAAAATAAAGTGTGTGTGTGTATGTGTGTGTGCGTGTACACGCACGTGCACATGTCTTCATGTGGATGCAGAGCTCATTGAACTGGGCCGTGCTGTTGTGTAGCCTTGACCACAAAGACTCCGTATGGCAGTCACTTCAGAACTGGAAAACACTGAGCTCTCGACTGACCTAGAAGGGCCTCTAAGGACCAGACCTCATCCATGTTGCATCGTATCTTCAGTGATACAGTTATGAGGAGAAAGGGAGAGGGTTCCAGCTGATGGTCGGTGATTAGGTTAGTGACACGATAGAACATGAGGGTCCATACTCACAGAGAAGTAACTCCTTCGCACGCTAAACGCGTACCTGGTGTGTATAATACACAGTGTACCAATCACCCCAAAACTTAGAGTAGCACACATGTATTATAGCATGCATTCTATGAGTCAGGAAACCTGGAAGTGACTTAGCCGGGTCCTCTGCACCGATGTCTCTCACAAACTGCAGTCAAGACGTTTCTGAGGCCATAATGTCATCTGAAGGCCCAGCGGGGGAAGGTCCACTTCTGACTCACATAGCTGTTAGCAGGATTCAGTTCTCTGCGGCCTGTTGGACTGAAAGGCTCTGACGGGTGCCCTCAGTTCCTTGCCACATAGCCTGCGCATAATCTAGTGCTTCAGATAAACACCATGAAGCCAGGTGCAGTGGTGCACACCTGTAATCTCAGGTGTTTAGGAGACCGAGGCAGGAAGAGTGTGAGCTCAAGGGCAGCCTGGCAACACAGCAAGATGTAACCAAAGAAATGACATCCTGTCAACTTTGTCACTTTCTACTTGTCAGAAGCAAGTCACCCGTCCAGGTCACACTCGGGAGAGATTGCACAGGGCACAAATACCAAGGGGTGTGAGCTGTTTTAGGCAGTTTGGGCTTCTATAACAAAATCCCATAGGCCCAGGTCTTAAATGGGAGACATTTATTTCTCACGGTTCCAGAAGCTGGGGAGTTCAAGGTCAGGGTGGCAGCAGAGGCCCCCACTTCCTTGGTTCTCAGTGACCATCTTCCTGTTGTGTCGTCACGGCAGAGAGAGCTCAAGCTGTGGCTCTTCTTGTAAGGGCACTGACCCCACTGTGAGGGCCCCACCCTCATGACCTCATCTAACCTGATGTCTTCCATGGGCCCCAGCTCAAAGCCATCACACTGGGGAGTCACAGACTTCGCTTCTGACCCCAGATGGTAGAGCTTCCCAGATCAGCCATTTTCTCTCTAGACACCAGCTGGAGGTCCTACGTCAAGTTATGACGCTGATTACCTAGAATTGGGACTGACTCACAGGCGAGGCTCCGTCTCACAAGACCGTACCCCATTGCAGATGCTAGTCACAAGCAATGGGGTCCCCGCGCTACTCACTCTTCTGTCGCAGCCTCCTCCTTTGGTTTGGCAGTTTGCTGCAGTGGCTCACAGAACTCAAGGAACCATTTGTCAGTTTCTTGTAAGGGATATGATAAAGGGTACAGACGAACAGTCAGATGGAAAGGTTCATCAGTTTGAGATCTGGAGGGATCCTAAGCATAGGAATGTCTGTATCTGTGGAGTGCGCCACCCTCTCAGCACACGGATGTGTTTGCCAGCCCAGAAACACCCTGAACCCTAGATTTTGGGGTTTTAAAAGAGGCCTCGTCACAGAGGCATGGTTAAGTGATTAATTCAGTCTCCAACCGCCTCTGCTCCTTGGAGGATGTGCAGAGGGGCTGAAACTTCTAGGGTTCTAATCATGGCTTAATCCTTCTGTGACCAGCCCCCATCCTGAGGCCAACCAGGAGTCCACACAGTTGCCTCATTAGAACAAATCACCCAGGAAATTCCGAGAGCTGGGGGAGCTCAGGGCAGAGCCAGGTGGAGAGCGAGTGAGGAACCGCAGCTGCAGGTCTTCACTAACCGAGCCGTCTGCCATGTGGTCGTGCTCACTGCGGCAGGATCAGAGATGCTGAGTCAGGGACTGTGTGGCCTTAGGTGGCAAAAGGGACTTGGAGATGTGGCTGAGGATTTTGAGATGGAGACCTGTCCCGAATCATCTGTGGGGGCCTTACAGTAAAGACAAGCGGGAGGGTCTGAGTCAGACAGGGACACAGCACAGTGGAAGCCAAGGGAGGAAGGAGGGAGATGACAGAGCCAGGGAACGCAGGCCACTTCCAGGAGACTGTGTCTCCCCGTGGGCCTGTCTGAGGGACAGATCTTGACGTTACCTGAAGAGCCATTTAAGTACTTCTGCCGCCAGAACTGGCTGGGAACCAGTATGTGCTATAAGAAGTAGTTTTGTGGAATTTATTTCAGTGTGGGAGGAAACTAGTCCACTCACAGCCCTTTTTAAGGAAGAAGGGGTTTAGGTGCAAGGTATAGGGTGATGGGCTTCTGGGGCCTTTTCCTGCCCTCCAGTAACTCTGGGTTTCATTTTAGGTTTTTTTGAGTCAGGGTCTTGCTATGTAGCTCTGGCTGGCCTTAAACCTATGATCTGCCTACTTCCCCTCTCGAATGCTGGGATTACAGGCATGTGCCACCATGCCCTGCTCTGTCCAGTGATCCTGAGACATGACCTGCACATGGCAGCTTCTCTGTCTCTAAGAAATAGCTCCTGCTTCTCTCCAGTGCTGAGTCCTATCGGTATTGACAGTATTGATGAGAGACCCGGGACCGGTGGAGCGGCTCAAGTGGTACAGTGCCTGCCTAGCAAGCATGAGGCCCTGGTCCAAACCTCAGTGTCACCAGAAAAAAAAAAGACAGAGAGACAGACCTGGGTCTTATGTACCCGTCAAAACAAAACAAGAGCGGGGTACTGAGCAGTTCTCACCAGGCTTCTGTTTCTGCAGCTTGTGGCATGTTATTTGTTGGAACCTTGGGAGGGGAAGTGTGGGCTGAGATGACAGGGCCTGGCACAAATTGCTTTTCCATCTTGGTGTTTCACAGCCAGATGTTGTGAAATTCTTTTTTTTTTTCTCCCTCTTTCTCTAGTGCCTGGAAACCTTGGCTGCTACAAGGATCATGGTAACCCGCCGCCTCTCACCGGCACCAGCAAAACCTACACCAAGCTCACCATCCAGACCTGCATCAGCTTCTGTCGGAGTCAGAGGTTCAAGGTAAGGTTCCGTGCCTGTGTATGCAGAAAAGGACAAAGACCAAAGTGTGCTGTGCTGAGTACCTTAAAAACACGTGTAGCGTAAACAACCAGCCTAACCAAACCTGTCAAGCTTCAGTTGCACCTCTCATGCCAAGGGCAGCTTGGAAGAACATGCTTGCAACTTAGGGCTGAGCAGCACAATTCTCCCTTAAGAAGTAGGAGAAAAGGGAGGGAAGTCCCCATGGCCACCGCCATCTTTGGCTTCTGACAGGTGCATTGTGAGCAGGACTGTCACTGGCTCCAGAGTCTCTGAGAATAGCCAAAATCGTGGCCCTGACCCGTGGACAGTCCAAAGAGTCTCTTTTCTTTCTACTCATCCCTTTATCCGAAAATCACTCCCTTGCCATTAAGAGCCAATAATACAATTGTTACATCACAAAAAGAAAAAACAGCCGTCCTTCCCCTCCCTCTCTCCTTTCCCTTTCCTTCCTCCCTCCCTCTCTTCCCTGCTTCCTCCCCTCCGTCCCTTCCCTCCCTCTACTCCCTTCCCTCCTTTCTTCTTTCCTTCCTTCCTTCCTTCCTTCCTTCCTTCCTTCTTTCCTTCCATCCTTCCTTCCTCCCCTTCTTCTCTCCCTCCCTCTCCTTCTCCCTCCTTTCCCTCCCTTTTTTCCCTCCTTCTCTCCCCTCCTTACTCCCTCTCTCCCTCCCTCCCTCCCTCCTTCCTTCTTGGTTGAGTTCAAAAGCCATCAGCCAGGTGCCAGCAAGGAGGACACTCCTGTGAGGGTCCAGGCCCTGTTTGAAGCAGGTGGGAGCAAGGCAGTTGGTCTAACATGATTGAGTGATAGGTTCCTCACACAGGGCTTGAGTGTGTAAATAAGCATATTGGGGATATGTGAGCCAGGTTTCTCACCATTGGAGAAGGGAGTCGGGAATGTGGAAGCCCAGGAAAGCTGTAATGAAGCCTGCAGTGTTGGGTGGGATTGGGGTAGTATAAGTGCATCCTTTCAATATATAGACAGACAGATACAGACATTAAAAAAAAAAGGACATAGGAGTCACCTTGAAGGGTCTCCCTCTGGACAAAGCTGACATAACTTGAGCTTCTAAAAACATAATGACAGAATAAATATATCCCATTGAATAACTAAGAATCCACAAATCTATACTGATGAATGAATGAGGAACAGGGAGTGCCAGCTAATAAATACAGAAGAAATGATGGAATTTGAAAACTCGCCATTTTTCAGCCATTACACTGATAATTGATCCAGAGAACAAGCATCAAAGCCTGCAAATATCCCAAACCCTCATCGGCCTAGTGAGTGAATTTGTATCGCCGCAAGGATCTCCCACAAAATACTTCTTAGTGACTGAGGGAAGAGATCCTTCCACAGTGAAGAAAGCTGGTGGATCCTGCCTCACTTGGGTGGCAAAGTTAACATTACCGGTGACGTGACAAAAAAGCATCCGTTGTAGCCCACCCAGCAGGACAACGTATCTTTGCTGTGGTGACAGTTCTGCCAAAAATGCCTAGTGTAATTGTGAGGAAACGTAAATCCAAAACGGCATTCTCTTCAAAAATGTGACAGTCACAAGGGCCAAGGAAGGACAGACAGCTAACCATCCCAGGGTGAAGGAGACTGAAGAGGCTCGACAGTGACTCCCATCCGTGAGCCTGGGTTGGGCCCTTTCCCTGCAAAGGCAGTGACCTCTTTGCTTGAGTCTCGAGGGATAGAGCCATGAGTCAGGCGGGTCCTGCAGCTTTGAAATTACTCCAAAATAAAAACATAGCTAAAGCATTTAAAAGGGACACAGTGCCCATTAATACTAAAAGGCCCCAGCAGACAAGGGACGGAAGGGACCTTCTTCAACCTGTCTGACATCGTCCTCGGCCTGAAAGGTTCAGTGTGCCTCCTACCTGAGACAGGAACAGGGAGTGACACCCATGCTCGCCTCATTGTGCTGGAGGGCCCGCCAAGGAGACGAGGCAAGAGAAAGGAAGAAAGGTATGCAGTCCTCACCTACGGGCGAGTCTAGTGAATCCACCAAAAAGCCAGTAGAGCTGACACGTAGCTTAGCAAGGGTGCATTTCTGCATGCTAGCCGTGAACAAATACAAAACAAGACGTTGTCATTTTGTGATAGTTCAAATCACTCAGGGGTAAATTTGGGCTCGGCTGTAGCTCATGGTAGAAACCTGCTTAGCATGAGTAAGGCCTGAAAAAAGAAAAAAACAAGAAGAAATTCAACGAAAGATATTTAGGAGTTCATACACTGAAAAGTACATGAGATTGCAAAGGAAAATTCAAGAAGCCCTAAGTTGAAGATCTGGGCCTTGTTCACTCTGTGGAAGACTCCGGTGTCACCAAGGTGTCTGACCCCCCAGACTGCTTTCAATGCAGTCCTCATCAAATCACAGGACATAGCTTTCATTTTTTAATTATTTTATTCTGAAATAGCGTATTTTATTCTGAAATTGACTAGCTGGTTTGGGAGTACAGCTCAGTGGTCGAATGCTTGCCTAGCATGAGCAACCCCCACGTCAAATCCCCAGCACGTAAAAAAAAATTGACAAGCTGACCCTAAAATTTACATAGAAAGGCAAAGGACTTTTGAAGAGGTCAGCTTTGACGAGGCAGTCAACGCACCCTGCCTGCTGTCCAGACTTTCCATAAAGTGACGTCATCAAGAGAGTGGTGCTGGCATAAGAACAGCCACACAGATCACGAGCCGATGTTCAGTTGCCCACAGGCCACATCCCACCACACACCTACTTTATTTGGGTAAATAAAGTTTTATTGAAACAGCCCTGCCTAGTCACCTACATATTACCTATGGCTGTTGTCATCCTACACAAAGTTGAGTAGAGAGACAGTGTGGCCCACAGAAACAGAACGACACTTACACGGACAGTTGAGCCTTGACAGTTTCTAGGCAATTCAATAGGGAAAAAGGATTTTCAACAAATGCTTCTGGAGAAGCATTTACCCTTTACAAATTCAAATAAACCTTTAACCTAGCACCATAGCTTAGACAAAATTAACTTTTAAATTATCCTACGAAAAATGCACTGTAATAGTGGTGTAAAAATGGACATACAGGCTGGGCATGGTGGCACAGGCCTGTAATCCCAGCTATTCAAGAGGCAGAGATCAAGAGGATCCTGGTTCCAGGCAGCCTGGGGAAAACATCAGCGATGCCCCATTTTAATCAGTAAGCTGACCTGGAGGGGCATGCCTGTGATCCCAGGTACGCGGGAGGCTCAAGTGGTAGAGCACCTGTCTAGCAAGCGTGAGGCCCGGAGCTCAAACCCCACTAGCACAAAACGTAAAAAATACAAAAAAAAAAAAAAAAAAAAAAAAAACGGCCACGTAGACCAGTGGAGCAGAATTGAGAGTTCACCATGAATCACTGACAGTCAATCAATTTTCAACAAAAGTGCCAAGAGCAGTCTTTTCAATGACTGGTACAGAAGCAACAGGATATCCATGTGCAAAAGAAGGAATCTGGACCCCACCTGCAGACTACATGCAAATGTTAAAGAAGGCTCAAAACCTAAACGTAGGAGCTAAACTATACAGCCCTTAGGAGAAAGCAGAGCTATAAAATGCCTGACTGCACCACGCAGTGGCCCCTAGGTTCCGGCACCCAACGTATGGGTAGCCAAAGGAAAAACAGGCAAATTGATGTTCTTCAGAATGAAAGGGCGCTAACACAGACAGGCAACTCCTAGATGGGAGAAGGTCCTGCAGATCGTGTATCTGAGAAAAGAAGAGGCCAGTGTCCAGGATGTAAGAAGCATTTGTAGAGTTCTCCGGGAAAAAGACAACTGATCCATTTTCAAAACGGGGCAAAGGATTGCATAGATAGGCATTTCTCCATGGAGGGTAAACAGCCGACTGGTCAGCGGGTGGAAAGCTGCTTGTTGTCACTGTCTTCGGATTGTGACTCCATACTCACGCAGATACCGCTTCGTGCAGCCAGGGTGGCTGTGGCTTAAAAGGGGCGACTTGGTGTGGAGCAGGTGGAGAGGTCGAAGCCCTTGACACTGATGGTGGGGACAGGAAGTGAAGTGAATGCCCTGGAGAACCGTCTGGCCGTTCCTCAGATGCTAAACAAAACTCCTGTCACCAGAGCTCCTGTTCCCGCATGCTCGGGACACGGGGGAAAGCGTGTCTTCACACACACTGAGCGTCACCCCGTTCTCAGAGCAGCGTTACCTACTATGGCCAAGCCTGGCCGCAGCTCAGATGTCCATCAGTGAGGAGTGGACAGACAGATGTGATGCACACGTGACCAGAAACAAAATGCTGCTGCCCACTGCAGCCCCGACGAGCCTCGACTAAACCAAGGCCACACAACACATGACTCTGTTTACACGATCTCTGTGTCCTGAGTGTCTGGGATGGCTGGGATTACAGGTGTGAGCCACTGGTGCCTGGATAGTACAGGGTTCCTTTTGGGCTGATGAATACTTTAAAATTACATAGTGGTGGCGGTGGCAATTGAACAGCATAGTGAATAAGTATATTCACTTACAAACATTGAAATGGATACTTTAAAATGGCAAATTTTATGTGAATTATAGTTCAGTTTAAAAAGAGGGGAGCTGCAGGTGGGGCTCAGTGGTAGAATGTGTGTTTAACATGCATGTGACCCTGGGTTCAATCCCCAGCACCAAAAATGTCCAAAAACCAAACAGCAAGAATAACAAAATCCTAAGAAAAGAACTAAAATGATTATACTAACAAAAAAATGTAGGAAATCTTATAATACTGGTGTAGACCAGGATTTCTTAAATAGGACACAGCACAAACTGTAAAAGAAAAAGCTAGTAAATTGAACTTATCAGTATTAAAATGTTGTCTTCAAAAAACAAAATTAAGGAAACGAGGAGACAAAGCACAGACTGGGAGAAAGTAGTTACTAAACGTGTTTCTTGGTGAGGAGCCTGTATACAAGATGCCTAAAGAACGTTCACAACCCAGCAATAAGACAACTCAACTTAAAAATGAGCAGAATGTTCGGACAAACCTCTTACTAAAGAAAGATGTGTGGATGGCCAGTGAGCTCGCGGCAGACACGCAGCCTCGCCAGTGCTAGGCGCTGACAAGGGCATGGAGCAGGTGGGCCACATGTCACTGGTTGGCGGATGTTGACAGTCCAGACCTGGGACACAGAGCGTGAAGTTCTGTACAGGGTGAAGTGTGCACCTTCCCTACAACTCCACAACACAGCCGGATATTACCCAAGTAAATGAAAACCTGCAGTCATCTAATTATTATAGCCCCAAGCTGCAAATAACCCACGTCATCAACCCATGAATGGAGAAACGCACGAAGTACGGTTGTGTCCACACCGTGGATTGCTGCTCAGTGACACATGTTACTAGGCTCTAACTGCATATTAATAATGCCAAGACAGGAGGGCTCTCCAAAATGTGCTAATTGAATTCAAAACACTACATGCTAAGCTCAGATGGATCCCGGTCTAAATCTAAGAAGCTAAACTGTAAAACTTTTAGAACAAACTTCTAGAAGAAAGCGTTATGACCTGGGTTTATTCAAAAAGTTGTTTTTTTTTTTTTTTTTTGCGGAACTGGGTTTTGAACTTACTCTTATGCTTGCTAGGCAGGTGCTCTACTTGAGCCACTCCACCAGCCCTTTTTTGTGATGGGTTTTTCAAGATGGGGGTCTCACAAACTTACCTGGGGCTGGCTTCAAATTGCCATCCTCCTGATCTCTGCCTCCTGAGTAGCTGGGATTACAGGCGTGAGCCACCAGCACTGACTAGCCAAAAAGTTTTTGAGGTGACACTTTTGCTCCGTGACAGACATTTTTAGGAGAATAAAAAGACAAGCTATAGAGTGGGAGAAATATTAGCAAATAGCTTGTATATCTAGGGTATGTTTTAAATAAAACCAAAACCGAACAAAACAATTTGGGGCATGGCTCGAGAGGTGGAACACCTGCCTAGCAAGCGCAAAGCCCGGAGTTCAAACCCCAGTACCACACACAAAAAACACCCACAAAACAAAAATCCAGAAACTAAAAACTCAATAGTAAAAGTCCAAACAACACAATTTAAAAATGTGCAAGAGACCTGAACAGATCCTTCACCCAAGAGAACATTTAGAGGTAAATAGCACACAGAATGACATTCAGCTTCGATAGCCATTAAAGTAGTGAAAATTAGCTGGCGAAGTGGCTCAAGTGGTAAGAGCACCTGGCTAGCAAACGTGAGGCCCTGAGTTCAAATCCTAGTGCCACCAAAAAAAAAAAAAGAGTTGAAAAAAAAAGCAATGAAGATTAAAACCACAGAGAGATACTGCTACACACCTGTCGGAAGGGCTGAAATAAAATACACGATGATGACAAGTACCGGCAAGGACACACACAGCACCCGAGACTTGCACATCGGCGTCTCCACCGCGCAGTGGTTCCACCCTGGGAAAGTTTGGTAGTTTCGGATCAAGAAATCTCATTGCTAGCTACTGCCCTAGAGAAATGAAAACTTAACTTCATGGGAAAATGTCTCTCTGTCACTGATGTTCCAGGTTTATGGGACTTTTCTCCCACTTAAAGCTTAGATAAGTAGACATGGAAACCCCACCAGGGAAGCACCTGGTGACTTGCTGCCGGCCAGCCGCGAGTCAGGTGTTGATGGCACAGGATCAGGGAGAGGCCTCGGGTTGGTGGCCTGGGGAGATGAGGTCGATTTCTGGGCACCGCGGATGACACCCCTCCCCCCGTGCCCTTCTCTGTTGTGGCAGTTTGCCGGGCTGGAGTCAGGCTACGCGTGCTTCTGTGGGAACAATCCTGACTACTGGAAGCACGGGGAGGCAGCCAGCACCGAGTGCAACAGCGTCTGCTTCGGGGATCACTCCCAGCCCTGTGGGGGCGACGGCCGGATCGTCCTCTTTGACAGTGAGTGCCCAGCCCCAGCCCCTGCCCACCTCCCCTTCACTCTCTCACGCACCCGTCTGCTCACAGAGCACCTGCACAGGCAGCACTGCCGGGCTGGGAACGCCACTGGAGTGGGCAGACCCAGAGCCTGTCCTGCAGAAGGAGGGACAGACGTTCACCGAGCAATCAGCCACAGCCATGCCCGTGCTCGAGCCGCTTGCCTGTGGCACTGATGGGCTGTGGTCAGCTTTAATAGCCCTTGTTTTAATACAGTTTCCGAGCACATTTTGCGCGTCCGTGGACACTGACATTTCCACCCTACCATGGTGCTTCTGAGAAGACAGCACTGAGTTCGCCCTGAGCTACCACCTCTCTGACCACCACATCTGTGATCCAAGTGGTGTGTGGCTTTGACCTCTCCAACGCCATGTTCTCACCCCTGATCCCCAGTCCCTTGTCCTGATCCCCCCACTCAGTGATGGTGACACCGAGTCCCATGAATAGGGTGTCAGCACCCGCACAGCACCAGATTTTAAGACAACAGAAAGAGTCACAAATGAGGCAACAGGAAAGGCTCTGGGTGACACATATATATAAGTGTCTACCGTGTTCTTGAAGATACAGTCCCGACGTCTCAGCCGGGCCGAGCAGCTCTGTCCGAGCAAACAGGCCCCAAGACATACTCATTTCTGAGGTCTGGCTGCCGTAACAGTGTCACGAAGCAGATGGCGTAACACGTGGGAATTTAGTCTCACAGTTCTGGAGGCCCAAAGTCCACAAGCAAGGTGTCAGCAGGGCCACGCCATTTCTGAAGGCTCCAGGGAGGCCTTCGTGTTCTGGTAGCTCCAGCCATCCTTAGCATCTGTTGGCTTGAAGGCGCAATCACTCCCCCTGTGTGTGTCTATGTCTCGGTGTCCTTGAACTCAGAGCCCACCCTCGTCTAGTATGACCTCATCTTAACTCAGGTACATCTGTGAAAACCCTATTTCTAGATGAGGTCACACTGATAGTATGTTTGTGGCCAACACTCTGTTCCCTCTGTATGGTGAGCGTACATCCCAGCCCAGCTTTATAGCGGGTCTTCTCTCGGACCCTCGCTCAGACGATGTCTGGCGTGTTACATGTATGTTTGGGTGGGAGGAGGGGGAAGGTCAGTTTTTGGCCTTGCAAGCCAAGCGGGGCAGTGTGAGCCCCGCGTCCCTGGGCTCTGCCCGGCACAGGGAGTCATCAGACTGAGACTGCCCTGGACGAGTGCCTGCAGGACCCCACTGATCCCTCACAGGTAGCTCAACACACGAGACGTACTCAAGAGATGGTTCCTTCCTTTCTTTTTTTTGCCTGCTTAATAGGTCAGATTTTCTTTCTGGGTGGGAAAATGTTCTGGAATTCGGTAGTTGTGACGATCGCTCAACATTGTGTGACACTAAGTACACTGAATTGTGTGCTGTGGAGTGGTCAAAATGGTGAATTCCTGATCAATACAAGATAGAATGCAGCTTTTCTCTTGGGCTGTCTGTGGGTTTGAACTTAGGGCCTTCCACTTGCTAGGCAGGCGCTCTACCACCTAAGCCACTCCTCTAGCCCTTTCTGCTCTGGTTATTTTGGACACCAGGTCTCACTTTCTGCACAGGCTGGCCTGGACCATGGTCCCCTACTGTATTCTTCCTGCAGTTGCTGAGATGACAGGTGCATGCTGCCATGCCAAGCTTTTTTCCATTGAGATGGGATCTCAAAAGCTTTTTTGCCCAGGCTGCCTTTGAACTGAGATCCTCCTGATCTCAGCCTCCCAAGTAGCTGGGATTACTGGCAGGAGCCACCAGCACTCAGACAGAATGTACTTTTTGCATGACAGTCTTTTATTCATTTAGCAGTTTTATCGGACATCTGCTGTGTGGCAGATAAAACTGTTTATTCAGTGTAATGACACTTGAGGTGGCAAGTGGAAATAAGCTGGTTTAGAGCCAGTTACGTACATCTTTGGCACTAGAAACACATCCAGGAGGTTCTGGTCTCGCACGAAGGTGCACAGAGTGAAAAAATTAAAACAGAAACAACTGCACTTGTGAGTGCTTGCTGTGCTGGACTTGGTGGACACCCACCGCTTCTTTGTATTTTGTGCTATTTAACCCTTGTGGCAGCCTTGGTAATAAGAAAACCGCAGGTCAAAAGACAAAGTAACTTGTCCCAGCTAGTCAGAGCCAGAGCCAAGAGTCAAACCCAGCTTTACCACATTTAAAATTTTGGGGGGGGCATTACTGGGGTTTGAACTCAGGGCCTTGCACTTACTAGGCAGTGCTCTGCCACTTACGATATGCCCCCAGCCCTTCCAGCTTTTTGTTTTTTGAGGTAAGTTCTCCTACATTTTGCCCTAGCCGGCTTTGGGCTGTGATCTTCCTACCTCTGCCTCCCATGTAACTGGGACTGCAGATATGAACCACCATGCCCAGCTTCTCTGTCGAGATGGAATCTCATGCACTTTTTGCCAAGGCTGGCCTCAAACTGCGATCCTCCCAATCTTCACCTCTTGAATAGCTGGGATTAGTTGTGAACCACACCTGCCTGGGACATTATTCAGTTTGCTATTTTCAGCTACTAGAATTTCTTTTGTTAACAATAATAAAATAGGTCATAATGACTGATCCAGAATCGTGCTTTAAAAGTCTGTGAACAAAATATGCTGTTATCCTGATTTTCAAACTGGCCCCACAGGCAGTGCTGCAGGAACTGCTCTTTCCTCTCGCATCCGATCGAGGACCAGGAAGGCTGACGTTCTCAGCACTGCCTCCCCCAGCCTTCAGAGGTCCTGATGTGTGGGGTCTGGCAGGAGCCTCTGACCACAGCCAGCTCCCTAACTCCTGCTGCTCTGCAGGAGGTACAAAATGCAGCCCGGTAGAAATGATCTCCAGTCTCACACACTGGAAGAGTCAAGTCGTGTAAATAGATCAAGTGCAGCCTGTGGTGGGCTGAGCACTTTGGAGACAGTGACTGCAGCCTGGCCATGCTTTGGGAGAGGAGTGGGTGGTGAGGGGGACCAGGACACAGTGTGTACACTTCTGGAACATCAGGCTCCACATTTGGCTCTCAGCTGTTGACTGTGACACGTCTAGACATGTGTTCTGTGTTTTGTTTTTTTTGTTTGGGCTTGAGTTTGCTGAGATTCTGAGATCTGTGGTTTGTCACCTTTCGTGATTTTGGAACATTTGTAGCTCTTACCTCTTCCTTATTTCCTCTGCCCATTCTCGCTTTTCCTCTCCTTCTGGGTCTCCATTACACGTGTCAGACCACTGGTTTTGTCCCGTAGCTATCAGAGGCTTGTTCTTTTGTTTGTCTGTTGCTCCACCACCACCCATTTCACTTTGGGTTCTTTCTGTTGGCCGTCTTCAACTTTATTGATTCTTTGTCATCTGTATCTAGTTTGCTGAGAGTGTTTTGCTTTTTGTTTCGTTTTGTCTTGTTTTTGCCAGTACTGGGGTTTGAACTGGGGTCTCGAGCTTGCTAGGCAGGCACTGTACTTGAGCTACTCCACTAGGCCTTTGTGTGTATGTGTGTGTGTGTGTGTGTGTGTGTGTGTGTGTGTTGGATATTTTTCAAGATAGGGTCTTGAGAACTGTTTACCTGGGGCTGGCTTGGAACCATGATCCTCCTGATCTCTGCCTCCTGAGTAGCTAGGATTACAGGCGTGAGCCATGGTACCCAGCTCTAGTCTGCTGTTAAGGCCATCAGAGGGACTTCATCTCTGTTTGCTTTGTACCTAGCATGTCCATCTGACTCATGTTACAGTCTCCTCCTCTCTGCCAAAATGCCCACTCTGTTTTTCAGCAGCCATGTTGAATGTTCAGCATGTCTGACGTCTGGTCATGAGTGAAACTGGCTCTGTGACAGTTTTATCACATGGCAATGAGTCTGTTGCTCTTCTTTCTTGCTTTTATTTTCTGCACATGCTGTAATTCTCTGCAGAATGCTGTGCACCGTGTCAGAACGGTGGGCACCGGGGGTGGTGGCAGTCGCACCTGGCAGCCTGCCTGGCGTAGGGTCTGGGGTGCTGTGGTTTCAGTCGTTTGCTCAGTGCCCATCTGGCTAGCGTAGAGTGGAGATGCCAGTGGGTCTTCTTTGCTCATGTCCCACCCTCAGCTTTGAGCAGGTCTTGTGCACCTGGGCCACAGCCCTCGGCCGGAAGCTGCTGTCACTGCCCGCTTCCTGAGGATGCTGGGAGTTCCTGGTTCTCCCACCTCCTCCTCTTGCTTAGGGAGGACATGCTACTGGGGTGAGGCCTTTGGCACTCACCACACTCCTTTTCTCCCAGGGAGCCACACACTGCCTCTCTGAGGTGGATCTTAGCAAAAAGTTTCCTGCCCCTTCCCAGGAGGACTCCTTCTCTTTCCCAGAGCCCAAAGGCTTGTGCGTGTACCCCCAGCAGCCCCCAGCGACCCCCAGCGACCAAAGGCTTCACTTCCTTTGGTGGCACACCTGTGCCACCAAGGAGACTCAGCTGCTGCCCAGCGCCAGCCATTCCTGGCACACTTGGGAAGCTGTGCTTCTGGAACAGCTGGCAGTGACCGCAAACACCACGTCTGGGGGCCGAGCCTAGCTCAGCCTTCAGGCCTCCTGTGGTGCTCCTCTCCTCAGTGTGGTGCTCAGTGTGGCCTGGCGCTCCTTGCAGGGCTTGTTACCTTCCAGAATTAAGTCCACCTGCTGTCTTGGGGCCTCAGCTTCTGAATTTTCAACTTTTTCTTATTAGGAGTTCAAGAAAACACTTTCTTTTTCAGTGCTGGGAATCAAATACAAGGGCCTGCATGTGTAGGCCAGGCTCTACCACTGAGGAAAACCCCAGCCCTTGGGTTTGTGTGGCAGGGACTCAAACTCGTGACCCTCCTGCCTCAGCCTTTCCAATGCTAGGATTGCAGATTATCCCACACACACAGCAAAGCAGGATATTCCTCTTGCTTTCCATGTCCTACAGGCTAGCAGAACTCCCCTAAAGCCTAATTTTTTTTTTTAACTGGGGTTTGAACTCAGGGCCTCACACTTGCTAGGCAGATGCTTTACCACTCGAACCTCCCCCTCCCAGCCCTTTTTTTTAACTTTAGTTATTTTTCAGGTAGGGTCCTGCATGTTTTACCTGGGCCAGGACCACAATCCTCTTATGCTCTCTGAATAACTGGAATTACAGGTGCCTCCCACCACACCCAGCTTTTTGTTGAGATGGAGGCCCATAAACTTTTGCCCAGGTTGGCCTGGAACTGCAGTCCTCCCCATCCCCACCTTCTTGAGTAGCTGGGATTCCAGGCGTGAGCCACCGTACCCTAAAGCCTGCCGTTTCAATCCCAGTCCTACGCTCCCTGGCAAGGCCTTACGTTACCAAGATATCGTTCACTGTGTACGACAGAACGTGGTTGTGCCCTTCCTGGAGCCTAGGAAGATGCCAAAGACAGGCATCTTTGTCTGGTGCGAAGTGATGGGCTCTGGTATTTCCCTGTGCAAAAAGTCTTTTTTTGTCCAGTTCTAGGGGTGGAACTCAGGACCTGTGCGTGCTGGGCACCAAGTGCTGTACAACCGAGCTTGTCCCCAGCCCTGAAAGTCCTTGTGCCACAGTTTCCCACTTGAAAAATGAGTGTGGACCCCTGTGTGAGCATGGCACCCTGAGGACTGGGGATGCCCACGCAGCACTGACCTCCTCATCGAGTGCCTCCTCACCGAGAGGGCCCAGTGTGGGCCCATGCTTTCTCTCATCTGCCCTCGCACCGCCATGGGATACAGGAGCAGGTGGTGGCCCCAGCCTGACCGAGAGAGTGAGAGACGGTGGCCCCAGGAACACATGGCCCCGCCAGTCCTGACCCAGACTCCCTCACTCCAGCCCGGCCCCTGCCTAGGCCACACCACTGTGCAGTGTGCGAATTCTAAGGCCTCCTGAGCAAACCAAGAAAGTGTCCACAGTCATCCGTTAGGGACTTAAGTGATTCATTTTGTGATTGATCCTGAAACCTAAGAAGGTCTGGTTCTGTACCTGAAAACAACATCCCAAACGGGAGCACGTTCTTAGGAAGAGTTTGTTAGCATCGGTGTCGGAGTCTAGGGCCGAGATCCAGACTCAGGTCCCTGTCTTCTGTCTTCTGCAGCTCTCGTTGGTGCCTGCGGTGGAAACTACTCAGCCATGGCGTCTGTGGTCTATTCCCCTGACTTCCCTGACCCCTACGCCACAGGGCGGGTCTGCTACTGGACCATCCGGGTTCCCGGCGCCTCCCACATCCACTTCACCTTCACCTTGTTTGACATCAGGGATGCCGCAGACATGGTGGAGCTGCTGGACGGCTACACCCACCGCGTCCTGGTGCGCTTCAACGGGAGGAACCGCCCGCCTGTGTCCTTCAATGTCTCTCTGGATTTCGTCATTCTGTATTTCTTCTCAGACCGCATCAATCAGGCCCAGGGATTTGCGGTCTTGTACCAAGGTGAGACTCTTCTCTCCGTGGCCCCTCAGCCTGTGACTGGGGGCCTTGGGTGGCTCATAGTGGGCCGACTGGTACCGGAACCACCGGCTCCACTCGGCCTGATCACAACGCTGAGCCTCACTCCCATCCCACGTTGCACAGTTTGTTCGTGTTTCAATGTCGCTATTGTGGTACTTCCAGTGACAGTTTTCGTGGGAGAGCTAAAGAATAACTAAAAGAAAGAGCTGAGATTGGCAGAATTGGAAGGCTCTCAAGAGGTCATTTTGCCCATCCTCCTGCCTCTGGGCTCCCCAGCCAGTCCTGAAGACTGACTGACTGCCTCTCCTCCACCCTCCTTAAGAGGGGCCACAGCTCTGCCCACGTTGTGGACACACGTGTCCCAGCACCCAAGAAAAGCAAGTGTTAAGACCTCACCTTCATCCCAGGTCACACAACAGGAAGCGTTCAGGCCTCCTGTGCTCAGGAGAGGTGGGAGGAGGCCTACCCTGCAGGTGGGGCAGTCCTGAGGAGCAGGAGGAGTGGGGTCTGGAGGCAGCAAGGAAGAGGCCTTCCGGGTAGAGGGGACAGCTACAAAACACAGGGCAGAGGACCAGAATTCGTGCTCAGGACCTGCGAGGGGGCAGTCACATAAGTGGAAGACGGCAGCCTGTCCTGCACGAAAAGGGCCAGAGTGCAGTCCACAGACCCTGCCTTGGGGCCAGGGGATGGCGGAGAAGGGCACACACAGTGCTGAGTCAGAAAAGGCCTGTCCTCACAGTGTCGTCCCCTGTGTGCCTTTGATCTTCCAGCTGTCAAGGAAGAACCACTGCAGGAGAGGCCCACTGCCAACCAGACGCTGGCTGAGGTGATCACAGAGCAGACCAACCTCAGTGTCAGCGCTGCCCGCTCCTCCAAAGTCCTCTACGTCATCACCACCAGCCCCAGCCACCCGCCGCAGCCCGTCCCAGGTAGCCATTCCTGGGTGCCGTCAGTAGGGGCCGGCAGCCACAGAGTGGAAGGTAGCACCCCACAGTTACAGAAGCAAAAGCGCCTGTGGGTGCTTCTCATGCAGGGGCAGCAAGGGTGCTGGCTCCGTGTCCTCCAGTGCGTCCTGGCCTTTGCGGGGGGTGCTGTCGTCACCTTAGCTCCCAAGCCCCAGGAGAAAGTGCTCGCTTCCCAAGATCCAGCTCGTGTCTTGTACTTTGTGATGAGTCTTAGTCACAAGAGACTCACTTTGAGGGTCTCTCTCTAGAGCCCCAAGTTGTGCTCCCAAAATGCACTGGCAAAAAAGTGCACTGCAAAAGCTTCATTCATTCATTCAAGAGGCGCAAGTGGAGCTGGGGGGTGGCTCGGTGGTCAAGCATGTGCTTAGTGCATGAGGCCCTGGGTTCCATCCTCAGTGCTCAAAACCCAACCCACAGGATGTGTGAGTGATCCAGTGGTGCCAGGCACTGTTCCTACACGGAACCAGTCAAATTCTGCCCCCATCCCAGCCCCCATCCCTTGCAAGTGGGAGGAGGAGGACAAGAAGAACAGAAAGGCCGGGGGTGGTAAGGGCCGAGGACAAGGATTGAGAGGGGTGCTGCTCTAACTTGGCCCCTGCTTTCCGGCAGGGAGTGACTCTTGCTTGTGCTGGAGTAGCTGGAGGACCGTGGGCAATGGCTTGTTCCAGGGGCCCTCATGCTGCCCCCGCCATGCAGGAGCCCCACAGGACGTTAGGGATGGCTCCCAGTGCTCCTCTGTGTCACTTGGATCCCGGTAGGATCTCAGAGGTCACACTGCTCACATGAGACTTTCTGTAACTCATCGGTGGTGACAGAAGGCCCAGTGGCAGAGACAGAACACATCCCACCCCTTTCCGTTCTGAGCCCCATGTACTTTGGAGCATAGCAAAGGAGCTCTAGAGCACAGGGAGTACCGCGTTTGGCCCAGCTTCCAGCTGCCATGTTTGCTGGCTGAGCTCCTGAGCCAGATGGGCACCTCGAAGCTGCAGACCTCCTTTGCAAGACGAAGCACCAGGTCTCGTGAACCCTGTCTTTCGCATTTGCAGGGTGGACAGTGTATGGCCTGGCGACACTCCTCATCCTCACAGTCACTGCCATCGTCGTCAAGATACTTCTCCATGCCACCTTCAAGTGAGTAGGAGAAAGCTGCCTGGCTGTAGGAGGGGCTCAGCATTCCCTCTGTCCCGCCTCACTGGTCTGGGTTCAGCCCTCACATCAGACCATGATTGTAAAGCCCCAGTCCTGGGCCGCAGAAGGCGGTGACAGACGCTCCTCCTCCTCGGCGGGGTGAGATGTACAGCTGGACAAGCCTCACAAGGGCTCCTCGTCCAAGGACGGGCTTCAGGGAGGATTGGAACGGTCCTGCTTTCTCATGTCGGTCCCTTACAGAGCTGAGCTGTCTGTGCGACAGTAAAGATTCCTGGACAATACCACGCATGCTTCCCCGTGCCTTCTAGAAACTGGAAATTCTAACAATTTACTAACTATTTCTTAGTCGCTATTTTTAAATGGTTATTTAAGCCGGCCACATGGCATGCACCTGATACGTGGGAGGCTGAAGTGGGAGGATTGTGACGACAAACTCAGCAAGACCATGTCTCCAAAGCAAAACAGAAAAGCTTACGGAAGCTTTAGCCTTCCATTCTGACCAGTTTGGGAACCATTTCCTCCCCTTATTTTGCTGCTTGGTTTTGACAGTTCTTCCTAGGAGCAGAGGGCCCTGAGTTAATCCCCAGTGCCATAAGAAAAAAAATAGAATTGGAAAACTCCGTGTCTCAGGTCCTCCTTTCCCAGATTTGAAGCACCCTGCCAGTTAGAAAGTTCTTCATTCTGAGAAGGCAGCGGCCTCGCTGCCCTCCCAATGCACACAGGCCCCATTCTCCTGTACGGTGGTCCCTTAGTTCAGCAAAGGTGACCACCAGGCCCCTCCCGAGACCTCGCTCACTGCATGTCTGTTGCAGAGGTACGGATGTCTCTGGAGACGGAGGGTTGGCTGGGGCACTTTGTTCTGATGTACTTGAAAATTGTTCTTCTCTGACAGGTCCCATCGTGTTCCTGCCTCGGGGGAGCTGAGGGACTGCCGCCAGCCAGGGCCTTCGGGAGAGATCTGGAGCATTCTTTATAAACCTTCCACATCCATTTCCATCTTCAAGCAGAAACTCAAGGGTCAGAGTCAACAAGATGACCGTAATCCCCTTGTGAGCGACTAGACCACGCGCCTGGGACACAGGCGGGGGGCGGGGCTTGGCTCCCTGTGGTCCTCTGACTCCCCTGCAATCCCTCCGCCTCGACCTGCAGGGCCACCGTCCTACACCCTGGGAAGGGTGGCCAGGCTGCAGGGCAGCGCAGGGTGTCCTCCCACATCCTCAACTGCACTTAGGAGAGAGACTCTGGCGCTCTCTCTCTCTCTCTCTCTCTCTCTCTCTCTCTCTCTCTCTCTCTCTGCTCTAACAGTGGGGGTGTCAGGACAGTGTGGCCAAGGCAGAGACAGATGACTATCCAGTGGTGGGTATGTTGAGTTGTTCTTGCTTCTTCTCTGTTGTCCACACACAGATCAGTTTCCTCTGGTCTTTACCATTTGGAACAGGGCCAGAAGGGAAGAATTCTCAGGTTCTCTTGAGGGCTGACTTGGTCCCCCGCACATATGGGCTCCTGGGCATTAGGTGTGTGCTGACCCTGGAGCGTTGCTCTTGGGGTGCTGATGAGGATGAGCCCCCAGCCTGGGAGGGCCTGCCCCACCTGATGTTTCTTCTAACGCTTCTTTCCAACGCTCAGAACCTGCAGCGTGTGTTCACACAGCGTCTGCAGAGGCCTTTGTAGGCACTGGGTAACTGCCTATGATTGAGCTGATCCGCCTCCACCCCACCCCCAGCAGCTGGTGGCCCTGTGGAACCTGAGCCAGGCCCTGTCCTCCCCGTGTTCTCTCAGCAACTCTCAGTTCAGAACAGGGAGTATAAAGACCCCTGAGACGGCACTGTGTGACACATGGGGCCTGTGGTGCCTACTGCAGGTGTTTCCCATTTCACAACCTCCCCGAGAATTGTGCACTGTGCCTCTTCTTTCAGGCACTGAGTGGAGTTGGGAGTGATTGGGAAGCAGGGGGCTCTTGTCCCTGGCCTCAGGCCATCACCAGGGAGCTGAACTGCAGAGGCTGGCGTGAGGAGGGGGAGGGTTGAGGACAGACAGCTGCGGCAGTCACCACTTGTGAGCATAAAACGCCATCTCTAATTTACCGCCCGCCATCCGGAAGCTGCCTTTGTCAGCAGCAGCTGAAGGAGCAGTCTGTCCTGTCTGGGCCTGGCCTCTGTCAGGCAGCCTGTCCTTCTGGCACTTGGGCCTCCTGGGTGCCCTCCTTCGCGCATGGCCTGCTGCCTCCCCCAAGTCCTGAGTCTGCCTACCACGGCCTTTCTGGGGTCTGGCTGCCCATCTACACCTGGCTGCTCCCAGGAGGACAGAAGGAAGGTTGAGTAGGGCCAGCTAGGAAGTGTCTTCAGGGAAAGGTGACATTCAACAACAGGAGTCCATGAGAGGTGACCAGAGCTGGCAAGGAGAGGGAAAGAGGCAGTGTGTCCACAGGTGGACAGGGGCACTGGCCCAGGCCCTGTGCGAGGCCTATGTGGGCAGAGCTTCTGGCTGCTGTCTTCATGATTTGATCTGGAAAGGATGGTCACCCTGGTATCTGCAGGCCCCTAGTTCTAGGGACAGGCCTGTCACACACAAGGACCACTGGAAATAGACTGGTGTGGACTTTGCCCTCCAAGCTATTTGTGGCTTTTGTGGAATCCTCTCTGAAACACAAACGTCTGGTGTGTGTTGTGACAAAGGGCCCTGTGCTGTGAGCGGACCACGCACAGCACAGAGAGAATGTGGGACTGACCGCCCCCGCCCTCCTCCGCGCCTCACGTGAATCTCAGGACGCCGGAGGCCAAGCCCCGGGGTGTCCTGAGCCGCAGCGGGAGCAGCACTTTCTCAGTCCCCAAAGGGCAGGGATGCCCCCCACGCTCCACCTGCTGCTTGGCCTGGGCCCATCCTGGCTCCTCCATGGTCACCTTCCTCTCCAGGGAGCAGCCCCGGGAAACCCAAACCCACCTCGGGACAGCACGAGGGAGGAGGCTGTCCACTGTCCAGGCCCACCTCCACAAATGTGTGGCTGTGGCCTTGGTCAGAACCTGCCAGTGAGTCCCCACCTGAGAGGTGAAGCATCCCAGGGTGGGAGGTGAGACCCCGAGCACGAAGGAGGGAGGGACAGAGCCGGATGGAAAAGGGTGACCCTGTGGAAGCCCCCCTGTCTCTTCTGCACACATCCCATCCCTGGCTGACAGAAGTAGGGGTGAGCCCCAAGCCTTCCCCAGCCCGCAGGGCTCATGGAGGCCTCTGGGTGGAGTGAGGTGACCAGTTGCCCTGTGAGCTCCAGCTCCAGACTCCAGCCTGTCAGAAGGCACAAAGATCAGAGCCCTGGCCCCTCGCCACCCCACGCCCCACATCAGCCCAGGCAGCAGTCTGTCTGACACCACGGGGACACCACGCACTGGATCCCATGAGCACTTAGAGGTGTGTGGCCTCCAGGCCCCACCCCGTCTGCTGGGCAGACCAGGCCCCTCCTCTCCACAGCTCTGTCACCTGGCGTCCGCTGGGGTTTCCAGTCGCCCACATGGTGTTTGATGTCTGCTTTTGTTACTACCTTGGGAAATTTTAGCCTTTTCAAGTTTCCTGGTGTCTTTGTTTACCTTCCTCACTGTTCTACCTCCTGGCCAGGCCTCTCAGCTCAGCTGCCCCGACACGGGGTGTGTATCAAACTTTCCACCCCTGGCAGGCCCCCCTCAGGCTGGTGGGCTCCAGAGTCCAGGCCGCAGACCCGGGGGCCTTCGCAGACGTGGGGTGCAGAGGGCAGCGGAGCTCCCCACTGAGGGGCAGGTCCTCGGACCACGGCTGGAGGGCCCTTTGCCGCCTGTGCGGGGAGCTGCCATCCCTGGGGTCCCCGGTGCCAAGACCCTCCCACAGGGGCTCACCTTCCAGCAGGCACTCTGACTTTGGGTGACAAGGCTTTATTTGTAAATACGCTCTTCGTATGCAACTTTGAGAATAAAATAGAAACAACATGTATTTTTAAATGTAAAATGAAGTGTGAGGCGCTGTATACAATTTAATATATATTTTAGCATTTTGTTATTTAAGAAAATGGAATGTAATAGTACATAACTTTTACAAAAGAGAGAAAAATGTTATTTTTACCGTCTGGAGAAAATAAATATTGTCATTGCTGTAGAGACCACAGTGGCCCCGAGCTGGTTTTAATGGGGCTCCCCAGAGACCAGGCACAGCGAGGAGTTGAACCTGAGGGCCAGGTCACGGCTCTGACCACTGTCGATCTCCAGGCTGGTGAGGGCGACAAGCCCGGGACCTCACGTCAGCACATCCACCGTCCTCCGTCTGGGACCGAGGCACCCGGGTCTGACCTGGCCTCTGGCTGGTCGGAGCACTTCTGGAGGAGGTGATGGGGCTAGGTGAGAAAATGCATCTGAGGTGGTGCAATTGGCCTCGCTGGTCCTGCCTGCAGCTCCTCCTGGGCCTCCGCTCCCCTCCCCTCCCCTCCCCTCCCCTCTGCGCTCTTTCTAAGGATGGAACCCAGGGCCTCGTGTAGCCACTAAGCTACAGCCCCCAAGCCCACTCTTTCCTTTTCCGTTTTTATTTATTTATTTGTTTTAAACAGGGTCTCACTGTGTTGCCCAGGCTGGCCTTGAACTCCCGGACTCAAGCAGCCCTCCCTCCTCAGTTTCCTGAGTAGCTGGGACTACAGGCATACCTTACTGTTCCCAGCCCAACAGTTCCTTTTTAGAAATAAGAAGCTCCAGAACCAAGTGGTCCACTGCATGCCAGGCACTCTGCTGTTGGGTGCTGTCGTATCCTGGCACCCCTTTGCCGTGGGTACCTTGCTCCTGTCTTCTCAGTGAGGAGCAGAAGTTGGGAGCGCAGCCCTGGAGTCGGCCTGCCCGGGTCCGGTTCTGTATTCACCAGTGTGAGGCCGGTGTGAATAGACCAGAGGTCTTTGGCGGGATTTGGGGAAGGAATGATGTCAGAGCCCTGGTTCAGAAAGATTTCCTCCTTGTGTTCAGAAAGTCACACCAGAGCTGGGGAGGACCGAAGGGAAACCAGCCAGTCAGGAGGCTGAGAGAGACCCAGGTCTGGGGGAGACGCCCAGCCTGGCCTTGTCCCCAGCTCCGAGTCACCCAGCCCTGCCTGCCCACGCTCTCACCTATCCACTGGGGGAGTTAAGAGCTGCCCTTGTGATGCATTGCGTCGTAAAGGTTATTGGCTCGTTTTTAGCAAATGGCACCTGTTCCTTTTATTCCAGAATAAAAAAAGAGTCACCTGACTCGGTGCCTGGGCAGGGATGGGGCTGCTTTCTGAGTTCAGTGACATCCCTGTGACCCATGCAGGCCAAGATATCCAGTAACGGAGGCCCACACCAGGGCCTGGACAGCACCCATCCATGGAAATACGCTTGGGGCGAGAGTCTGGGGTGATCCCGGGAAGCTACCGAGGACTTGGGACCTACTGAGGCAGGTGAGGGACACCTGGGCAGGACCAGGTGGGGCTGGAGAAAGAAAGGGACCCTTCCCAGAAACATCTTTGACCTGACTAGTTCAAATCCACATTGCTGTTTTTGCGAGCCTCAACTCCAAATCCTCAGGAGCTCACTTGGCCGGGTTCTGCTGGGTGTAGGTTCACAGTGGACAGAGGGCAGTCCGCCAAAGAACCCACTACCACCTAGGACCCAGTCCTGAGCGGGACCCCTCTGTGCTTGGCCGAAATACAGGTTTCTGGGCCTCTAATCTCCTACTTCAGCCTCCCCAGGGAGGGCCTCACCCAAGTCTGGTGGCCACTGCCACCTCTGTAAGGAGGACAGTTGTCTAGTAAAATCACCATCGTTGCTTCCTTTGCTGACGGGGGTGTTTGTTACCTGACTGCAAAGACGGAGCCCCGAGGTGTTGCAAAGGTGTGTGCAACACAGCACAAGGGCAGTCCAGTGAGGTCTCCGTCTGAGCCACCAAAACTGGGCCTGTCCAGTAGGCACTGGACAGGTGGCCTGAGACCGCACACAGGTCTTGCACAAACAGCACAAACGGCGGTCACCCCAAAGGCCTCTCAAGAGCAATGCCTTGGTGTGGACTCCGCATTCATCCCTTACCGCTGCCCCGTCCCCACCCCAGCCTCCACACTGTGCCACCCTCGAGATGTGACAGTACGGTTAAAGGCCAGCTTGACGAGTATTTATCTTCCCCGGGCTTTGCTTCTCATTCCCAGAAGGAAAATATTTGTAATGGCAGGAAATGCCTGGTGGAAAACAGACCGGGTGGCCTCCCTGTGAA